TTCAAGTGCCACGCCTACTCCATCTCAGGTATAAGGAGTGTAAATCATGTAAACGATAATTGCATCTACCCAAGGTACAAAGCAGTAGATTTTCTTGGCTAGGAGCAAAATCGTAGGGATATGCTCCTGCAACCTCACCTTATATGCGAGCAGCAGCATTATACATTCTATCGACATCATGCCTCTATCCACATAGTCACCTGGAATTGTAAGGTTCTCCTGGAATTCCGTTTGTTCAAGCTGATTTTTTTTGCGGGATACGGTGCAAGTGGCGCGGCTATCACGCGTGCATATGTTCAGTGGATCAACACCAACACAAGCCGAGCAAGTTTCGACACCTCCGGGGGTCAGCTGTTTGGTGTCCGACTGGTCTAAGAAGATAAAACATTACCTTGTATATGGGAATTGGCGGTCATTATAAGTCACGCCTCAAAATATGCTGTCCACGCTGGTCATGTGGGCGGGGACGGTCAAACACTGCACCTTCCCTATTTTCTCGTTCTAAAGCAGTAAAAATGGATGCGCGCCAAAGCGGAAGCCCCAAGGTTGTGAGATTGGAAAAGAGGTCCACACTGGATGTATGGTTCCGCCCATACATCCAGTGTGGACCTCTTTTCCAATATCACAACCGCTTAGACTGGAAATCCAAAGCGTGGCGCACTCTTTGAAGGCACTCGTTCTCCACTTGCGGTCTGTCCTGTTTTACTTCAGAATGGTGCAGATTTGCTGGCCAAGGTCCGTGCCAGGGTTTCCACTTTTAGGGACGGGAAGGTACATCTAACTGAACTCGTAGAACGGAACCTCAACAGCCTAAGCGGAAGTGGATGCTGGTCAAGAGATCGAGTTGCTTCGAAAAAGTGTCGCGTGTGGCAAGCAGCGTCACGTGCGCGTTATTCGCACCACAATTAGGTGATGCGATGGAAAATGTCTTAGTAGGCAGAGCTACAGTCTTTTTCGCTGCGGATTGAGGCGTGTCGGGAAAGGAGCTGTCCTTGGCGCCCCGCCAGTCCATTCTCCACCAGTTGTGGAGCTGGTAGGCGACCAAATTAGTCGAAAACTCACTGGGGCCGTGCGAAAACCAGCTCTTCTTCCTCCCTTCCCCTCCCCTCCACAGTCTTCGCGGATAAGACGTATAACTAGTTAGGAAGAGCGGAGCATGTCCGATAACGCCATAGGCTGTCACCACAACTCTCATTCCGACCCAGCCAGCGGACCACCAACGCGAATCCACGAGGGATAGCAGAACTTTTTGCCACTGCTCCACCAACTCCACAAAACTTTCTGTTCATATCACAACATTCTCTTACCAAGGAATAGATAGCGCTTCTCTGGTGGTTTTCCGATAAGCAGAAACATATTTATTAGGTCGTTGAATTGCCCATGAATATCACCGACGATTATTACTGGTGGATCGACATCGATCAGCGTTTTTTCCGCTAAAATAATTGGTGTTCAGCAACTAAAGCCAGAGTTAGGAGGAAAAAAAAGAAGGAAAAAAAAAAGAAGGATAGAGAAAGTAGGGGTTACACATTGAGCCCGGGAATCGCACTGATCGCCCTGGCATAGGAGGGTGTTCAGAAGCGGACTCATGTTTGGAGGCACTTTATTACAGCACAATCAAATTCCGCGCTCGTTGTGTGGGCAGAGTCAGATCTGCCGTCGTGCTTAGTCTCTCAGGCATTAGTGGGAAGGTACTCGAGAGGAAAATAACTGAGGGATGTACTGAGGAAGAGCTCATGTGACCCATACGACAAGCGTGGCAATGTGGAAGAATCGGCTACAATATCGAACCGTGGATGGGCGTGGCTTAGTCGTTCTGAGGACATAGCTACTTTGCACCGCTGATTCGCGAAACTGCTTTTCGAGACATTGATATCCCTTACCGCTTTACATTTCTAGCTTTTTCTGGCTCTCTCATACTTCGAAATACTGTAACCCATAACCCAACCAGGTTTTCAGCTCATATCTCCCGTGTGCCGAGGCCGCGTTCAGACCTCGCGATGACTCCGCTGTAACGCGCGCCCACGCGCTGCCACTGCCATGAGGCTCTAGGCTATTGACCGGAACACATTGTTGTAGACGGGAAGCGATTCAACGTCGACCGCTTCTGCTTTTGGGGGGGGCGGGTACAGGATAACAGGAGGGTAGGCGATGACCAATCATACAAACTGATATCGATCGACGCCGGCCGCTTGTGTTTTGAGAAAGAGTATAGGATAACATGGGTGACCAAACTGTGTGAAGGCAGCGCCTACCCTCCTGTTATCCTATACTCTCCAAAACACTGGTGGCAAGCGCCGATCAATACCGGTTTGCGGTTGCGTTTCCGTCAGTAGCGTTGGAGCCCCATTGCAGTGATAGCGCGTCGGAGAGCGTCGACGCGTGTTATCGCGAAGTATGAACGCTGACATAAGACGATAAAGACACGAACATGACAGGAGAAGATTTGCATCCTGAATAACAGCTCGATATTCCGCCATAGTGTATTCGATCTTATGGATCTAAACATAGAATTATTCACCAGTAGTCATGCACACATAAAATGGATTCAAGAGCATACCCCAGGTTCAATGCGGGTGTAGTGTTTGTCGAGAAATTCTGGATAATCCAGACAGTCGATTGATTTGAGCAAAGTGCGCGCTTGAGCGGCTGCACGGGCTTCACTTCTTCCTCTTTTCTGACGAGTAGAAGGTTGCTAGAAGAGTCCAAGAAGATCGGAAAGGAGAGGAGGGGGCGCAAAAGGATGAGCGGGTAAAGAGACAGACAGGAAGCAGAGGAGAACTTTGGCAGGCAAGCAAAAATACGTAGGTAAGTAGGCAGTGAGACAGACAGAGAGATGAGCCCAGGTGTAAAACGAAAGACAGGAGGTCTGGGCGCCTTGAAAATCCCCGGCGAGAAAGATCGCTGGAGACAGGGAGGGAGAGGGGTCGTATATGCCTTTGAGAAAAAATGTTTTGTTGTTGGTGACTTCCCAAGTGCGCTATAGCCCTCCTCCAACCCCTCCCATTCCACTTCCCCGCTCGACGGCCTTTCATGGGGAAAAATTGGAGGAAATTTTGGAGAAAATTTGGAAAATCGAGAGGAAGTTGGGAAATTTCGGGAGGATGTAAGAAGGACGGGGGAGGGAAAGGGGGGACTGTACAAAAAGGGGAAGTTTCGTAAGTGGGGTCGTATTTTGCAAACATTTTAAACAGCAGGGTGTGCCTTGCAAGAGGTAGATCGACAGGAAGATTTAAAGAGAACATGAGGGCCAGAGAGCTTTAATGGCAGGCACGCAGACAAGCAGATGGAGAGAGAGGGAGGGGAAAAATGGGGAAACAGAAGAAAAACTCGGCATCACCAACCGTACGGCCTCCCGGCGTCTTCGGCGTAGTCTGAAAAACGTAGCTCATTGAGGAACAAGTTGTTTTCAGTCTTATGAGATTTGCAGCCCAAAGCTCCTATCGGTCCACGAAGCAACCTCACACCAGCCGGGGTATGTCGCAACGGGACGCAGTTCTCCTGCCTGATCGTTTGATTGGAGTGTCAAAAGGACGGGAAAAACTGGTCGTTGATCAGTGGAGTATTGCCTCTGCTTCATTTCATACGAGTTTCTCTTCTTTTAGTTGAGACACTGATGCGCACTGAGAATTTGCCGCGCACGGCCGCGCGATACCACGCGCGTGACAAATTGCCGGACACCAACGACTGTCTTGTCTGTCTCCCCAACTTCGCGAGTGTTTTGATTTTTGTAACGCAAGAGTGGTACACCCCGACAGGATGTGGTTTATTTGACTTGGTGGCTCTTAGGCCGTCCAACACGTTGCCCGTCAAGAGACTAGTGACGTGTCTTTGACGTCACATAGCACGCTAGTGACGTCATCGACAATTACACTGTACAAATTTCCTCGTGACTAACGTGTTAAGTGACATGCCATCTGGCTAACGTGTCAGTTGACGTCTCCTCATAACACTCAAAAGCTAGGGGAGACGGGCAAGAGAATCGTAAATTTGGCCGCTCCCGCCCTGCCCTGTGCGACGTCGCAATGCAACGCCACTCGCGGCAGTGAATTACGACTCTCTTGTCACATACCTAAAAGCTAGTGAACCCTTGCTACATGCCATGACAGACAACAAGTATCGGAGACGTAGTAAGTCCGCCAAGAGCACGGTTATCGATTGAGGCCACGACTGACAAATGCTTGTCACGGTGCGAGAGACGCACACAACTAGACAAACCGACGTGTGGCGTACACTGCTGGGCGTGGTCGCGACGTCGCTCACGTGAGTACCTAGCTATTGGTGTATCACTCGCTTTCTGTTTTATTCATACGACCACATTCGACCATCCCCAGTGCATGTCGATGTCAATGTATGATTTCATGATTTACGGGTTACCCGCAACTCATGGACATGGTGGGCACCACTGACCAGATTATCGCGCAGCTCGCAGCAAGTTGCATCGCGGCGTCCGGCTGGCTGAGTGCTGCCCCGCTGCTCAACTAAGATGGACTATCTTAGCCAACGCCTTGGTCTGGCACTTGTTCATCACAGAGATATCTGATACTAGAACTCACCCCAACACTGATTGACTCAGTTGTTTTCCGCACACTGAAAGCAGAAAATGAAAGTTTTTCAGGTGTTCAGTCAAGTTTTCGGAAGGTGTCTCAACGCAGTTGCAGTTGGAGGGGGGGGAAGGGCAGAGACATTTTGAATCTGGTATTCTTTACAAGAAATGGTAAGTAGTCTTTACTAACTTTGACTGGTACTGCCTTCACGATTCCACACAATTTACAGATCTCTACCTGATTTCTGGACACGAAACCGAATGCAAAAATGCCCCCTCCCCGTCCACCAGCCCTACTGCGCTGCTGTCTCAGCAACGCGTTGACTGGACATGAGCGTAAAATGAGGAAAACTTCCACCGTTTCTTTGGTAGTAAGAATGCTAGAATGTGTGAGTAGTATAGAGGAAATGAATACAGTATCTAAGCCTGATTGACCTAAAAGCACATTACGCGTTGATTGTATAAGACGACATGGGCGTAGTCAGCTTCAGCTGCGCCTCCCTTCTTGATACAGCTATTCGTTTTACCGCAATACAACGCACTAGCACACCAATGCGGGAGGTCCTGACTCCGCCCACTTGGACAGTATAGACTCTGCCTTTAGGGTATAGTGCATTGGTGCTATTTTCCAGATTCGGTCTAGTCGTAACTCGACCCCATGAAGAATGGGAGTGGCACCACCCGCCCAAGGTTTTCCACTCATTCCCCTCTATACCTCACACTTTCTGCCCATTTCCTACAGAACCAACAAAGAAAAGTGCAGTATAAGTGGCTCGAGTCCGCCATTCCCAAAACTAAGGGCTGAAAGGGGAAATATCAAAGCAAAAAAGTTGTCAGCAAAGTCTTACGTACAGCGATTTCATAACATTTGGCTCGAGTTTCATTCGTATATCACGATCACTGAGCACTTCATCAGGATTTACGATTGGTGATCTGGTAGACTTTCTGACACTTTGGGTACTGAAATAACGTTAACTGACTTTCGTTCAATTCCACCCTGTACTCACTCTTATGAACATTGGCCAGGAGGCGGAGTTTCCAGTCTGACGCCATTGGTGGAAGGGTATCAGGCCATACCATTCATTCAGGATTGTAGCCCAATAGTGTCAGGCCGGAAAATCCGCCAATGTGTCAATTGTTCTTGGATGTTTTGTAATGAAATACTTCTGTTGGTCTTTACGGGTTTTCGTTAGGAAGGGTTTTGTAGGTCTGTACCCTCTGATCAAGATAGAGTTTTGTGGGATCATTTATAAACAATCTGAGCTGGTTAATTTAAATCTATTCCTCCTGTGACTCAGCCCAATATACTGGATTGGTCAAGGTGCCCAGACTGCTCTTCTTCGCTGCGGCTTATGGTGCAAATGTCGCGCGCAACACCGCGCGACACCAACGCCGCTGCGTCGCGCAGTCAGGTGTAGGTTCAACCAGCTAAAGGAAGGAAGTTTTCAGAACGGGAATCACAAAGAACTCACGTGGTCGCTCCCTTTGGAGTTCTCGCCATAATAGATCTGTTTCTGGGGGTAGCCTGTTGAAAAAAAAATTAGTCAGAAAGGCCGCTACTAGAACTAGATCTCTGGAAAACTCCTGAATAATGGCCACTGTGTTCCAACGAGCGTGTCCCTCGAAATGTCTACGTCGCGGCAACGCGACGTCGCAAATGGCGTCGCGCGCGGTCAGTGCGCTATGTGCTGCAATAATGACAAGGCATCGCAAAGCCACCGCGCAGAGAGTCGATCTCTACGCACCTTCTCAGCGTAAGCCGCCCGGCTGATACTTGCTGAAGAATGCACCGGAAGCCCCGTCAGAGGTGACCACATCCTTCAGCTCGTAGTACTAACTCGTCAGCATAAGGTCTCAGCGCCGGCCCTGTTCCAATCCTTGCCCATCTCCGGTTTCGTCGCTCTCGACACTCCTACTGTCTTGGCTCATAAACGTCGAAAGTGGTTATCGATTTTGCGCGCGTGTAACTGACGTCCGTTTATCGCACATATAAGGCGTTCAAAGTGTAGAAGCATTTTCCACGCAAAAGATCTGAGATGCGGTGGCAAACAGCATCTACTGCCTATGTCAAAGGACAGTAGGGGGCGTGGCTGCGAAATAAGAGTGTCCAGAAGAGAGGCAGAAGCATATGTATTCGAGTGGAGTCGGCACAGGCATATGTGGCCGTCGCTAAGACGCCACTTGTTTGCATTCCGATGTGGGCTATTCCCCCGCGCGCAGAACCCACTACCTAGTTTACTGGAGTGTCGCCGTCCTCGATAAGTGTCGATTATATTCTTGGTGCGAAAGTCCGCGCAATAGGTGGCGGCATTTTCAGTCCCGACTTTTGCGGCGAACCGCAACTCGGTTTTCCCACCAGCACCCTTTTCGTCCCCATATCTGCTCACGGCCTTCCTCCACAGCATCCCTAGCACTGCATTTCGCCCGATCGATATCTTTGAACTCCGGTTCCGGTTCATCAGCCCCAGCGCCGTGATCTAGGGGAGCCGAGAAGTGGCGCAGTGCCATCGCATGGATTGTTAGCGAAGGCCTGGAGTCAAGGCCAGGAGTGCTCGGTGCCACCCTAAACGACTATTCCAGTCTGTTCTTCGCGGATGCTGTTCCGTTGATTGTTGTCGCTTGCACCTTGAACAACTGGTAGAGAAAATAATGGAGCCGCGCCAAACTCAGCCGCAGCTTCGGTATCGAACAAGGAACGCTGCCAAGAAAGCCATACTACCCCAGATTACCAGATTTTGACCCGAGTACCGGAAAGTGGGTGGGCGTTTGGGGGCTAAAAAAGTCAGAACTTTTGATAACCAAGGATATCCAGTAGAGAACAATGCTGCTCAAAGAAACTCACCGAAGTCTTGTCGGTTTTTACGGAATGTGCCACAGGATTCTTTAACGTCACCATTTTGGAAGCTGTTTGGAATGAAAATAAGACTTATTTGCTTTTCACTGTGGAAGATAACTGAACCTTACGTTATCACGGCCTTCAGTGATGCAAACAGATGATATGCACTACCGTATTTCAAGTACCATGATTCTACACGGTTACTGTATGAGTACTACTGCGACGGCGGTAGCGTTCAGGAATTTCATATTGCTAGTCGCCAATAGTAACTGTCTAGCCGGTTGACTTGGCATACTGCAGCAGTCCCATGCTGAATCATTTAGATCTTCGAGCGAATGCCGCGCATGCGACGTCACCTACGACATCGCATTCGCCCGTCGCCGCAACCTGGACTCCACCTGATGGACAGAGACGGCTGGACCGTGTTGCGATAGATATGAACCGGAATGCGCCATGCATTAGTTCTCCACCCCTATTTTATGAGCAACTGACCATAGTGTTCGGCTCTGTTCGACTTATTGGTTTCGATTTTGCGCTTTTTCTTGTTCCTCTTGTTGTTTCGCGCAAAATAAGAGGTCCCTGGTCTTTGGTCGGACCTATAAGCTCCTGTAAAGCTGCGAGATTGTGCGAGTGAGCAACTTTGGCTACAGGAGTCTACAGGTCTTTGCAAAGCGGTCTGTTCAAGCTTAGTTGGGTACTATTCAGTGCCCCCAACAAGTCGAATGGCGTCTATTTTCTACATGGTAGACTGAAGGCGTGTGAAAATACTGGTAAAGATCAAAAAACTTGATAGCTTGCGAGATACCGTTTGACGTGCTACTCAAGTACTTCTGGTATCGTGCATCCAGTAATATACCAGCCAAAGTAGCCTTAGATGTGTTTCCTCCCTAAACGGAGGTGGTGTAGCGCCAGATAGATCTGGTTACCACACCAGCCCTCGTCATCTTGGATGAGTCCCCCTGAGGCACGTCCCTGCTCCGGGAAAAACTTTGCAGAATGTGAGCTCCAATCGAAAATGTCTTCCTCTGCCCCTCCCCTTCCCCATCTCCCATCCTAGCAACCATCTTCTGCCTAATTTTCCCCCCAACTAACACCGTTCCAATGTTTTCTGACTGATTATTCACTTTTCCCAAATACTACCGTCCGAGAAAGTTATTACGCCCTGACACGGAGTAGGCGTGGCTTTTGAGCATGGCATAGGACGGGTTTCTCGTGGGATACTTCAATTTGAAACAACTGCTATCTTGTTCTGTGTTAGATGTAGACATGATTACGACTGCTCCAAAATGACAATATCTCAGAAAACCTGGGCCGCCGCCATTCTAAAATTGAGTACGCAGTCACGCCTACCCGATCTCATGGATTCCGAGTATATGTATGTAGCTCATTCAATAAGGAAAAAAGCTCAGAGAAGTTAAATACCGGAAACTTTCTTCTCAATAGCAAAAATGGTCCCCCTTCCTCCAACGAGAGAACCCTCGTTGAGGATCTCCAGGCGTGTGACGTGCCCTGACTTCTGGCTCCCGCTCAGGCCAACTCAACCTAACATCCATCTCAGGCGGGCTAGCTGAAGAAAAAAGGAAAAAAGCTGAGATCCGCCTGGGAAAGTACGAACAATCACTAGTTTGCACATTTGCTGGTCATCGCAATTTCTTGTGTAAGGTGAAGCGCGCGCTAAAATTCTTAAATGAATGGCCAATGCTTGGCGTATCTCAAAGACGGCTTCATCAAAACTGGAAGTCTCTGCTGGCCAATGCTTGGCGTAGCCTCAAAGACGGCTTCATCATAACTGGAACTCTTGCTCTGTAGACGTTTTACGTCTCACGTCTTCTTTCTAACTTTTGTTTCGTTCAGAAGGTTGGTTTTGATTTCAGCAGCATTAGCCGTCCATAACTTAATGAGGAAAGTTACATCACATTTTTTCAAACTCGTCCCATACTTTTCGGATTTCCGAATTCATTCTCGAGTGAATTGAAGTAGCTAACCGTTTCTTATGGCGTTCACTTTTACAATGTGCGTATCTGTCCGTAAATAGAAATTCAGCCATCGTTGGCGATGTTGCGAATGTTTATGGCTGATCGCTGCGGCTATCGCCACACCATGAAGGTGCGGCTGATGGGGCTAAGGGTGATACGGAACTTGCGAAACTGCTCTCAAGGTCCTCGTGATCACTAGTACACCCGAAATCCCAGAGATGGGGTAGGCGTGGCTGCGTTTTTCAACTAAACGTGGCGGTTACTGTGCTTTTGGAGAAATATTTCCATTTTGACACAATTGTGGTCGTGTCTCTATCCAATGCAGAACAAGATGACAGTTGTCTCAAACTGAAATATCCCACGAGTGACCCGTTCTGTGCCATGCTCAAATGCCACGCCTACTCCATCTCAGGAATATGGAGAATAGATTGCATGTGTCAAGATTTTCACGGTCCTTGTCTGTTTACTCGTCAGTACTGAGAAAGAGAAGCGGCACAGTGAGATAACATGATTTTACGAATGACGCTGGCTGATAAAGATCAACCAATTTACTCCTGCGCTCATTAGATGCTACTGTAATGAAAATAGGGGAGAGGGAGGTAAATAAAAAGGAACACTTTGCCTTTAAAGCGCATGGGCGATCTTTGCACTACCTCAGACTGCCCCATCTTCACAACATCCAGGACCGAGGTCGAATGCATGGCGTATCCCCGGCAGGGCCGATCAAATGATGTGATCATTTCTCATGAAGTCTTCGAAAGGTCATTTCACATAATGTATCATTGGTGCGGTTTACGACTCTATGTGATTGTCCGCTAGAAAGTTAACGAGACAAAGGACTCATGCCCGTCGTGTAGTGTTTTCAATGATGACCGATCAGTCACGGATCACATCACTCTACGGAAAAAATGATTACGGTAGGCACATTACTGAAACATTTTTGGTGTCAATAATATCTTCTATTTGAGCGATCTGCCATCTCTCATCTTTCTGATCTACCATTTTCTTTTTGGAGACAACTGTGATGAGCATTTGTAGGAGATTCGATGGAAAAGTTCACGCACTCCTCGAGAACTCCTTAAGAGGGGTTGTATTTGAGTTATAGAGCAGGCAACATCATTGGTTGGGGATTTTAGTCGAGTCTGTACGACCCTCCTTAGGAGGCGGTATAATGCACCTGTATTTCGAAGTTATATGCAGCAGGGCCACTCAGGTCGGTGGATTTAGTCGGGTACCCGTACGACCCCCCCCTCCTCTTCTTTTCTGGAGAGTTGTGGGAACGACCCTCCTCCCTCCGGCCCTCTGGGAAACATGGCGAGAACGTGGAGCGGGTGCACATTTTTCCGGGTCCAGCGAAGAGGAACGGGAGAAAGCGATGGTCGCGGGCACACAGCTAAGCTTGTACAGAACTCTTGTAACTTGCTGTTAATTCCGGGTATCAAAGTGGATCACTCGAACGGTCCTAACAGAGCACAGCAAAAGAAGTGGCAAAAGTCCGAAATGCCCCACCCAAGCCGAACAGTTCCGAGAAGTGTCTGGTTAGTTTGTGCTGCAGTTGATCTTACTAGTCCTGCAGAAGCTAGGCAAACCCTCGATCCCCGTGCCCTTTTGTGGAAATAAGAAGGTTGTAAGTAATCAAAAAGGAGTCCAGTAATTCTAATCATTCATATAGAGCTTTGTTTCCAGGGCTTGTCTTGTACTGTACTTGCATGTGTGGCCTTATAAGCATTTTGGTACTACCTATCATGTGCGTAGAATCAGGGATTTTTGATTTGATTTTTTTTTATTTCACTGGAGATTTTTTTCTTCAGCCCTCAAGGCTTCCTGTTGCTTCCTTTTTTCCATTCA